CAGTTCTTTAAGCCTAGCGTACATTGACAGAGTAACTGGAGACAACTAGTTGCGAGGCTGCTTTTGGCTACTGAGAGTAGATGATGGGAGATGATCAGTTGCCAAAATCGGTCAATGTGAGCGCTCTTACAACTGGAGATAAACAGTCAATCTCCGGATTCAGTCAATTGCCCGTTTTCTACTTTTCGGCAACTAGTTGTCCTCAGATCCGGAGATATCACCCAATGTGTGCGCTCCAACAACATGTGTGTATTGCGCGCTCTCTACAGTTTATGTCAGAAAACACACTGTAGTTGAGGCCAGTTGCTGTCGATGTAAGTAAGTAAGTAAGTATTTATTTATATACCGCCTTTTCACTGCAGATCTGAGTCTCAAAGCGGTTTACAATTGTTAATTTTTTGTGCATTAGTCTCTCACTCCACATAGAGATGGGAGCGGGGTCGCCAGTACAGGAGGCGCATGCTAGAACTATTGGACATATTTTTAGTGGTAGGGGAAACCGGAGTACCCGGAGGAAACCTACGCAGACACGGGGAGAACATGCAAACTCCACTCAGAAAGGCCCTGGTCCGACCGGGATTCGAACCCAGGACCTTCTTGCTGAGAGGCGAGAGTGCTATCCACTCAGCCACCGTGCCGCCCACGGTGGTGGATGTACGCGCTGTTATTCCTGAGACTGGTCTGCTACTGGGAGTTGCCCGTTTTCGCCACATTGTCGATGTGTGCGGGGCAGCAACTCATAGGCGACGGATATAATCAGTTGCCAGTACAATGTACGCTAGGCATTAGATCCAGACCGGAAAAACAAAGTGAAGAATATCTCCTAAGTAAAAAAATTACACACACAATTAATCACACATTTGAGCTCGAGCTTTATGTAGTTTTGTATTCCAACATTTTAATAGGTGGGCAAGATATGTCCAAAATGTGCGTTTGTAATTTTAGCACAGCTTTATCCTGTGCACTTTAATGTAGCTGCTCGTCTTGACTCAGTAGTACTCAGTTCTGAAGCAAAAAGGTGCCTACCGGTTACATGCTTACATAATTTGGTGAAACCGGATCGCCACAATTAAAAAAAAATCTCAACAAGATACCAAAAGTAAGTTTAAAGTTGTTTAAATACCATTTGAAAATGTCTGAATAAACTAAATAAAGGTCTTTTTAATTATTCTGTTTAAACATTGCTGGATGCATAGTCAAACCCCACACTTCTGTAAAGATTGTAAAACATATTTGATTAATGTTTTCATTAGTCATATTAACATAGAGAATGTGTTGTCATGTTATGAATGTTGAATTACTGAGATTAGCAGTAGATCATAAGATGTAACAACGCAGCATTAGATAGAGAATTATGCATGATTAATTACCTTCCATGTTGGGTGCAGTCAGCAGAACAGAGCAGGCCTTTACCTGAGGAGGAAAAATATGTGTAGCAGACTGGAATCAGTGGAACATATTATCATGACAACATTTGGAGAGGTCACTTCTTGTGCTTTTTATACATGCACAATGGTCCAGGAGGAGCTCAGTCACAAGCTGCCTGACACAGATGGCGCCTCTTTTTAAAGTAGATCATCTCACATCTCGAACAATTTGTTCATGTGGAAAAAAATGTATGGGTGTCATACTGTACTGTCAATAGGCCAAACCCCACATGGATGCTTGTACATTAAATATTATAATAATGTGGACAGGACAGTTCTAGTGTGGGAGAAAAGATGAGGGATAGTTGTGATGCAAGATGGTAACAATAATGTCATCAACAAGCGTATATAAAATATTCGATTCCAAAATCGTACAAATGTGACACTTCAACAGAGATTAGATTCATTACATTTATGGGAATTTTGTACTCAGTCTTTTTGAAAATTGATCAAATGTCAAAATTGTGAAATAATGTGCCGGTTTCGGGCTCTATCTCCGCCTCTCAACTTTGTAATTTAAAAACTTGAATATTGTAACCTGACTCTCAACAGATCCTTGTAGTTCGCTGAGCTCCTCTGGCGGATCATGGGCGGAACTACAAGGATTTGGCGAGAGTCAGGCTATGAATATTGAGCTTCTTTAATTAAATTGGAGGCATTCGGTGACTCTGATTTATATACAAAAAAATGTAATAGTCTGATTTTGCAATATAGTTGACATTGCATGTGTAAGGTTAAATAAGGGACAGGGCCGTAAAACAGAGCCAGGCCCTGTTGTGTACACATTCGACCAAAAGGAGGAAGACGCCCCACTGCAGCTTCAAAGGAACAGCGAGGTCGGCCGGAGGACTATCATTGATCATGGGGATTACAGACGCCAAAAAGAGCAATAAAGTCACCACGGGGATAAGCACCCCTGTCTCTGCCTGCCTGTAGAGATCAAAGATCACAACCCTGCTCTCGCTCACAGACTCCTGCCACCGGACAATCAAAGACTCCCCCGCGGCGCTCTGACGCCCCCTTGTGAACAATGGACACTATCACACCCGGGACGGACAATTGCGAACCGGCACCCCTGGGTCCAGTACTCCAATAATCTGCATTGTGCCCCATATGTGTGTATCAATGTCAAAGTAATGAAATACGGTGTGTGTTTGTACATGTCTTATGATTATTTGCATCAATCCTGTGTGTTTCCTTTACAAACTGTCTGTTGTAAAGGGGTCTGTCCACAGAGGGCAGGGGCGGCATGGACACGCCCCCCTGGGAAGTCAATATAAACACGAACAATGCCATAGAACGACCTCTTGCCTTCTCCTGAAATCACTATCGCAACCTCCCTATCGACTCTGCGGCGGCACCAGTACGGGCCTCCAGCAACGACTGTGCCCGTCCGCATCGAGACTTTCCCTTTCAAGCAAACCTATTTTCTGGTTGGGATTTATGAACTCTTCATCACCAGCCGGCCCTGGCTCTGGACTCTGCGCACGTGACTCATTCCGGACTGAGTGTGCACGCCTGGATCCAAAGTTGGACTGCCGTCGCTGGCTTCATAATTCCCGCCTGCCCGGACAAAGAAACCACGTGGACGACATCGCCTCCACCCTATTCTTCATTCTCATCCTCCACTCCATCCTCATCCCAGTCACCCACCTCCCTCTACGCTCCTTCAAAGTAAGACTGTTCTTTGTTAAATGTGCGATTTGAATGAAATGTATACCACTTCTGCTTTAATGTGACCAGAAATCCCCTTCGTTATATTTTTACCTTCATTTTTGTAATCAATAAAACCCTTTTCTTTAACTCAACCCCGTCAGAGTCGTGTTGTTAGATCTCGGAATATCACTGGCCGATAAAAGTACTCACTACCTATTAGATTCATAAGACTGATCGAGGCAAAGATTTGGTGTGTCTGTGCGCAGATTTCTAACTCTGCTGGTGCCCAAAATAAATAACACAGACCTGTTGGTGGAACGGCGAGCTTCCGCTCCGGAGACTAGCCGCTCCACGCTACCAAATTCATACTAAATTTATAACATAATCTGTAGTATTATTACCCTACATATAAGTAATTACCCTACAGTATTGGTACCCTGTTTGTGAGATCCGCGAATATAGACCAGATTTATCGACTCGTACTCTGTGACTGATCTGCAATACGCTAACTTTACTGCTGCTCCGCTCAAAGCGCTCCCCCCCACTCCCGCACCCCCTCTGTCCCTGCTACCCCCGTTGCTATAGTGACTTCAACGGCAATCGAGCTCCCCTACGCCCCACGCTTGCGATAAAAGCGTCTCGTGCATGCACCAGACTATTAATTTAGTCTCAAAACCCTGGCTTTTGCACAGGTACTACACATTCTCTCCAACGTTTTGCCCTGTCTAGGCCAGTCAGGCAGCGTGAGTCTGTGAAAGTCGCTTCCCTCTGAAGAGAAAGCGCAAAACCTTATTCTTATAACTCCACTGTACACCGTGTCCAGAACACGGGTGTACGGATCTACTCTGTGTCCCTTGGTGACCCAGGTCACACAGGATTTTAACCGAGTATATCTGTGTAAAAGGCTGTAAATGGCAGCTGTTTGAATGTGATGCTATCGTTTTGCTAAAGGCGGCTAACGCTAACTCTGTCTCACCACTCTCTCTGCCTGCTAACCTGCTGTTGTATACACACACCAGCACCCTACAGTACATACATACAAACCCCATTCCACCACTGCAAATACGTGCTTGTGCGAACCGTATAACTCGCTCCAGACTTTCGTTGTATAAACTACTGCTAAAACCTCCGCGCTCGGAAGCTAACTGCTAGCTACACTCCTTTGTTCTAGCATAAAGCTAACTTCCGCTCGGGCCTGCTAAGCCTCAAAGCTACACTCGGACAACATCGTTGTCCTACTACTGCTCACACTATAAGCTGCTTCTCTACCGTTAAAACTAGTGCTACTCTGTTTGACCAAACTGCATTCGGTTACTAAAACTCATTGTTTACTGCTCAAACTGCTTCTAAAAACGTCCCGTTGTCGGCAAAACTAGCTAGCTACGCTCCTTTGTTTTTAGCATACGGCTAACTTCCGGCCCTGGCGCGCTAAAAGCCAGAGCCGCATCCCCACTGCTAATACCATTCTGCTGCATTGCCTACCCGTTGTCTAACAATAACAAAACGTACTATACTTTCGTACTATCCTATTTCACTCTGATTCTGTGTTTTGACGATCATGAAGTGCTAACCCGCCTCTGCACACTGCTAAACGAGCCGCACCTCTCTTATTGTCTAACACAGAATCGCTTTCCGGTCCCGGTGCACCACTTCCGGGACCACATTGCTGCTGTCTTGACTCTTTACCCTGCACTACGTCTCATGATCAAGTGATTGGCTGTGGTTGTAACATTAACACTGTTTTGGCTGTTGTCCCTTGCTGTTTCTGTTCCAACTAAAATCTCTACTTTGCCAAACTTGATGTTTGATTGTACTAAACTAATACGCTAATTCCACCCCTCCTTGCACTAAACTAAAACTAATAATTTTAATCCTGCCCCTTCTTCTGCATGTCACGCCTAGACCACACTGCTGCCCATGGTGGTAACATTACCACGGTCTAGCTGTTGTTCCATGCTGTTTTGTTGCTCAAACTAATAACCACTCTATGTTTGATTGTACTACACTGAAACGAATCATTTTAATTCCGCCCCCTTCTGCATGTCATATTGTTTTTATTAGAACACATTACTGCTATACGTAACAACAGCTAACACTCTGCTTCTGCTTCTCCTCTTAAGCATAATTGTTAGGCTACATTACTGCGTTGACCAAGTTTCACACTGTAACTCTGCTACTTCTAGCGCATGTTGCTATTAGAACACATTACTGCTATACATAACAAAAGCTAACGCTCTGTTTCTGCTTCTCCTCTTAAACATAATTGTTAAGCTACATTACTGCATTAGCCAAGGTTAATGCTGTAAACTCTGCTCTCCTTCTGCTGCATGTCGCTGGTGATACGCATTCTATGCTTTATTCCTGCTCACTCACTACTGCTAGTTTACAGTAACACATCTGTGTGGTGGTTTAACAAACACTGCACTCCCACACACCCCCGCCCCCTCCTTGCCACCGATAATAACACATTGCTGTGGTAACTAATCCTATTCTGTACTCCTGCTCCTGCATGATGCGCGTTATTGTTGAACCACATCGGCGTGTGATCTGACAGATACTGCACTCCCACCTAGTGGTGAAACTAACACTCTACTATGCCAAACTCTATGTTTGATTGTACTACATCAAAACTAATACTCTATTTCTAACCCTCACTGTCGCTAAAACTGCATTACCTTGCCTCAGCCTGCTGCCTTTTTGCTACTGCTTACTTGAGCTGCGTCTAAAGCTACACCGCGGCCCAAAACGCAAGTGCGTACCAAACGCAAGTGCGTACCAAACGCAAGTGCGTACCAAACGCAAGTGCGTACCAAACGCAAGTGCGTACCAAACGCAAGTGCGTACCAAACGCAAGTGCGACACCAAACGCAAGTGCGACACCAAACGCAAGTGCGACACCAAACGCAAGTGCGACACCAAACGCAAGTGCGACACCAAACGCAAGTGCGACACCAAACGCAAGTGCGACACCAAACGCAAGTGCGACACCAAACGCAAGTGCGCGACAAACGCAAGTGCGCGACAAACGCAAGTGCGCGACAAACGCAAGTGCGCGACAAACGCAAGTGCGCGACAAACGCAAGTGCGCGACAAACGCAAGTGCGAGAACAAACGCAAGTGCGAGAACAAACGCAAGTGCGAGAACAAACGCAAGTGCGAGACCAAACGCAAGTGCGAGACCAAACGCAAGTGCGAGACCAAACGCAAGTGCGAGACCAAACGCAAGTGCGAGACCAAACGCAAGTGCGAGACCAAACGCAAGTGCGAGACCAAACGCAAGTGCGAGACCAAACGCAAGTGCGAGACCAAACGCAAGTGCGAGACCAAACGCAAGTGCGAGAACAAACGCAAGTGCGAGAACAAACGCAAGTGCGCGACAAACGCAAGTGCGAGAACAAACGCAGGTGCATCTCACGCTGCGTCTACCGCTGCGGATTAACGCCGCGCCCTAATACTGCTGCTGGCGCCACTGCTAACCCTACGTGCGCCAACGCCACTAACCCCAACGCTCTCCGCTGACACACAGGTGAAGAAGTACTAACGCCCGGCCCCTGCCCTAGGCCGCCTACTCGCATACACCGCCACACGGAGAGGACGCTGTAGTCACGGTTTTGACACACACCAAGGTCTACACCACCACACGACCAACAGCTAAACTACCCTCTCTATAGCACTGCTTTCCTCCTTTCCCTCCTCCCACCGTGTCGTACACACACACACGTTCCAAGTCATACTCGCATACACTCACCCACACAAATATGGAAATCGATGGCGGAAACTCGCCACGACCGAGCAGGCACGACGGTGTCTCAGAAGGACACGGCATAGTGGATAACTTTCTGCGAGACCTCACAGAGAAGTTATTCCCAGGGGGCTACGACACGCTTGAGCACAGCTCACTCTCTGACTTACAAGATGCTACCTCCAGATTAGCATCCGAAGCTACTACGACAAAACTCCAAGGTAAGACCCTAACCCAGTGGCTAGGACGACTGGCCATAATCTCCAGGATAACCTTGCGCGACTCCGAAGCCCAGAAAGCAAGGCTCCAAAACACAGTGAGTGACCTGGAACGACAACTGGCGGAAACTAGGAAATCCGCCGCGACCCGCTTACAACAAATCCCACAGGTAAGTAGGGACCACCAACAGGGACTGAGCATGACTCCAAGCGCGACCATGGATCTTGATCGCGCAGCGGAAATCAGGACCGCTATTTCGAACGGAACCAGCCGTGACAGTACCTCCGGCCCACACTCCCCTCGCTCCGACCGCGGCGAACCATCGTCCAACTGTGAACGCAGGAGCGTGGCCGAACTGGTAAGTATCATGACGGGAAAGGACCAAAATCAAGGTCATAGGAACAATACACAACCCAACATTGGACACGTCGACCACTGCGACCCCCACGACGCCCCTCCGGGAACACACATGGACATGCGACACAGACAACATGACTATCCGACCCATGACCCCGGCCCACCTGACGTCCATACGAGACATGTTTCAGACCGCAGCCATTGGGACGAAAGGGCCCGCCCTCAACATAGCGGACAAACCTACAACGACCCCCCTGGCCCACACCTGAACATGCTACATGGACCACACGACTTACGGTGCCCCAAGTCTGGGCCGTCCGCATATGCTGCGACACAATGGCCAGTGACCCGCGATGGGAACGCCGGGGACCTCCCCAAACATGGAGGACAACCCCACGGCGACCCCCCTGACGCACGCCAGGACTTAACCCTAGGCCAACGGGACTACCCGGACTGGGGGTGGACGGCCCCCGACCTCGACAGGTCGGACTTAGCCTCCCTCCGACACGACAACCCCACACTAGAACGCCCCTTCGACGTCACGATCGACACGACGCTCGGAACCCCCGGCCGTGATGAAGAAATAATGCCGATACGCCATGGGCTGTTAGATTCTGCTTCCGATACACTCACTTCGTCGGTACTCGTGGTGCCTCGAAGTATGAGGGGGGTAATGTTGGCACACGCCCATGACGCACCTACCGCGAAACAAACAGGTATAAACAACACACGTCAGGCACTACAACAGGTAGAAACAACGGACCGAACGGCGACCGAAATACTAAGGTACGTATCCCCAAACCGGAGTGACGAGAACGTGAAACTCCCCCGGCGCCTGAGGACAAACCAATACAGGACCGACCCGCAGGACCACCCCCAGGTCAAAAACCAGGTATGGTATTACACCTTGGCACACTCCCCAGGACACGCGGGGACCGGCCCCACCAGACTACGCCGGAAATCGCTACCCCGCTGGTCAAGACCATACAGGGTGGGAAACAAACTCTCAACCGCAGTGCACCAAATCGAGGTCACAAAAGGTAGAGAGCCCACCCTCAGATGGGCCCGTTACAGCCAAACCAAACCACACAAACAAAGCCCCATGGGACAAGCAGGGCACACTTCAAAACCCAGTTAGGAACACACCACGTGACCTCAAACACGATTAGCCCAGCACTCACCAACACTCTTCTCGGCTGCACTAATCGACTTTTTCTTTCTCTGTCTTTGTCTAACCCCTAACAGTTGTTTCACGCCTTGCAGAACATGTGGCCCACTTTCCTTCTCGTGCTGACCTGCATACTGGGTCTCGGCACCCCAGAAATTATTGAGACCGGACCAGCCTCCGGGATCGTTTTAAAGGAACAACCCGGGCTCCTCATCACGGATGTCCGACTCCACACACAGCGAATCTTTGTCAGACTCAATCCTAGTGAAGTCTGCCGCAAGAACCTGCCCTTGAAGGTCACACTCAAAGATTGGGCAGGTGCACGCTGGACCCAGACGGTCGTGGAGCATGCTGAGGCAGACATACAACACATGCTGACGCAACTAGAGAAGTTCACGATCACTAGGACAGAGCTCAGTGACCCTCGCCCCAGACCCAAACGATTTATTGGGGCTCTCCTCGGCGCGGCGTCCGCCCTGGGCACCCTCTTTAGCTTAGGGATGTCCACGGTAAACGCCATCAGCCTATCCTCCCTCAGACGTCACCAACAAGAAATGGCCTCTGAGCTCGAGGATGTCAAAACCAGACTTGACCAACAACAGAACGACGTGGTAACCTTGGGAAAATCCCTAAAAGGAACCATGCTAGTACTTAACACACACGATGTTGCGATTAAACGCACCTCCGCTGCGGTCAACCAACTCTTAGACGTCCTCCAACTAGACTACGCCCATACTCAGCTGACCACCCAACTGATGGAGGACATGCTACGTCACCTCAGTTCCTCGATCGAAAACCTAGCCATGGGCCGTATCCCGCCATACCTCGTGCCGCTATCGTTAGTTGAGAACATTCTAGCCGTAGCCACACGGGACGCCGTAACCCCCATGCAAGCCCACTTAGCGTACACGCTGGGCGCTGCAGTCCCCCTCTATGTTAATCCTCTGGACCGCGAGGTAGCCTTTCTAGTCACCCTACCGATAGTTCCCGGCGATAAAATCTACCGACTAAAAGGGATCACTAACCTAGGGACTTGGAGGGACAATGCCCACGTCAGAGTCCAGACCCCAGACATAGTAGCCTACCACGACAGTAACCCCAATTTATACCTAACGCCAAACCTAAGGAATGTGCACCCTCACCAAGGACATCCATTACCTCTGCCCCAGCAAACCTTTCGTCAGGGACAGCACCGATGGCATCTGCGGCCTGAGGCCCATGACTCCAGGGAGTCGATGCCCCGCGACGGTCACCTCGCGGAAACAAATAACCGAAACTAGAGCAGAGATTGTAGGGGCACGCTGGCTAGTGAACACTCCCCTTAGAACGGCGACCCTGACCTATGACAAACATGACACCTCGTCCCAGTAAGCCTCCCGGACGAAACCTTTTGGGTCGACGTCCCAGCCGACGCTATCCTGCACGTAGGCGACCTGGCATTATACCACCTGTATCCGAACCAGTACGAGGCAGAGGTCGAGATACCAGAGTTCTTCGAGGAAAGGGCCTTGGAACTTCAACCCTCCATCCTCGTCCAAGCCACCTACGAGGGGGCACAAACCGTTGACGTTACGGTCGTAGACAACCTCCTCCAAGAGATTGCCAAGCGACCGACCATCCACCACCAACCAGTAGCCTACTCCTGGGCCGCCCCCGATACAGTCATGGCCATCGCGGTAGGACTCGGGTACGGCCTGGTCGTAGCCATGGCCTTCGTCCTAAATAGACGGGTTAGACAACTCCGCGATAGCTTTAACAGGTGCACGGAGGCAATGACGAGACAGATCCGTAGACGACCAAACCGGGGCGACAGCGCCGTCGAGCGTGGCAATCTGAGTCGGCGTCCCCAGGTCAATGAGTCAGAGTACGAGGACCTCCAAAGTCACCCACTCGAGACGGTCACCCTTTCTATCACGGAAGGTGAACCAAGGGCCTAAAACACCACTAAGAGTCACCAGCTCAGACCCAACCAACCTACCTCGATACCTAATCAGTCTCTTAGACAATCATACCTGTCATCCCCGTTTATATACAGGAAATGCCCCTCGTAATTAAAGCCCCACTTGCTACGTCATATATTCGCGTAACCCTTACACTCCCCTTTTAGAACGAGCAAGGTGGGAACCCCTCACCATCGAGTGCCTTAACGACGCTCCTACCCGCTGCCAAGGCAGCCACCCTTTTTCGGATTTTTGAAGTTTCTTATTTTTACATCCTAGTCCCCTAGATTAGAAACTCCTGCTAATCTCTCGGCTTGGAACTTTGAGTCTTCCAGACCAAGAGACCCAGGAGTCAGGCACACCGGCCCAAACCTTAGAGTTCACGGCCGGAGCTCACTCCCTAAACCCCCGATCCCGGTTAGAACTAGCCTGCAGGGCCAGGACTCGCCTTAGAGAAAACCCGGCCTCGACAAACCAAGCCAGGGGCCCGAGACCCAACCGCTACGAGCCTGGCCCCCGTTAGGCGCTTGCTAGCTACTGAGTCACATTGAAGCGAGAATGTTGTAACATGTCACCACAAATCACGCACTAACACCCGAACAGGCGAGACGACCGACCGGGGACACCCGCCCGGCATATCCGACATGACATGCACCTTGTCGGAAGGTGCATCTCTGCCGTGGGGGGGGTATGTAAGGTTAAATAAGGGACAGGGCCGTAAAACAGAGCCAGGCCCTGTTGTGTACACATTCGACCAAAAGGAGGAAGACGCCCCACTGCAGCTTCAAAGGAACAGCGAGGTCGGCCGGAGGACTATCATTGATCATGGGGATTACAGATGCCAAAAAGAGCAATAAAGTCACCACGGGGATAAGCACACCTGTCTCTGCCTGCCTGTAGAGATCAAAGATCACAACCCTGCTCTCGCTCACAGACTCCTGCCACCGGACAATCAAAGACTCCCCCGCGGCGCTCTGACGCCCCCTTGTGAACAATGGACACTATCACACCCGGGACGGACAATTGCGAACCGGCACCCCTGGGTCCAGTACTCCAATAATCTGCATTGTGCCCCATATGTGTGTATCAATGTCAAAGTAATGAAATACGGTGTGTGTTTGTACATGTCTTATGATTATTAGCATCAATCCTGTGTGTTTCCTTTACAAACTGTCTGTTGTAAAAGGGGTCTGTCCACAGAGGGCAGGGGCGGCATGGACACGCCCCCCTGGGAAGTCAATATAAACACGAACAATGCCATAGAACGACCTCTTGCCTTCTCCTGAAATCACTATCGCAACCTCCCTATCGACTCTGCGGCGGCACCAGTACGGGCCTCCAGCAACGACTGTGCCCGTCCGCATCGAGACTTTCCCTTTCAAGCAAACCTATTTTCTGGTTGGGATTTATGAACTCTTCATCACCAGCCGGCCCTGGCTCTGGACTCTGCGCACGTGACTCATTCCGGACTGAGTGTGCACGCCTGGATCCAAAGTTGGACTGCCGTCGCTGGCTTCATAATTCCCGCCTGCCCGGACAAAGAAACCACGTGGACGACATCGCCTCCACCCTATTCTTCATTCTCATCCTCCACTCCATCCTCATCCCAGTCACCCACCTCCCTCTACGCTCCTTCAAAGTAAGACTGTTCTTTGTTAAATGTGCGATTTGAAATGAAATGTATACCACTTCTGCTTTAATGTGACCAGAAATCCCCTTCGTTATATTTTTACCTTCATTTTTGTAATCAATAAAACCCTTTTCTTTAACTCAACCCCGTCAGAGTCGTGTTGTTAGATCTCGGAATATCACTGGCCGATAAAAGTACTCACTACCTATTAGATTCATAAGACTGATCGAGGCAAAGATTTGGTGTGTCTGTGCGCAGATTTCTAACTCTGCTGGTGCCCAAAATAAATAACACAGACCTGTTGGTGGAACGGCGAGCTTCCGCTCCGGAGACTAGCCGCTCCACGCTACCAAATTCATACTAAATTTATAACATAATCTGTAGTATTATTACCCTACATATAAGTAATTACCCTACACATGTTTTGCCCTATATCGATTGTTACGGCTCCAGGTCTGGGCCGTTTTGCGCAAGCACCCCCTCCCTCTCCCGGTGCGTCTCTCTCTGTCTGTGTGTCCGGCTCGTTCCCGCGAAGTCTAGGGCCCGCCTCCCGGATGCTGCCATTCGCCCGGAGTCCTCCTGTATGGCCAATAGGAGCTCCGCCTGAACCAATCTGCGCCACCAGCTGACCTGCCCGCGGCCAATAAAACAGCGGTGTGACGTCCAGACGGGGCGGCTTATTTCCAATACAAGTGCGCCAGCCTTGAGAGACAGACGTGTGGTGGAGAGCTGACACCTTTGAGAAACCTTACGAGACCTTACGAGACCTTATTAGAATTGTGACTTGTTACCTGTCGAAGGAACCCCTTTTGTTTAGTTTACTGACTCTTAGTTTACTTTAGTTTTGTCCAGGACGTTACCTTTTCTGCCTAGAAATAAAAGGCCATTTACTTTCGCCAATTACATCTGGTTGTGTATGTTGCATTTCCTTTCCCCTTCTCAGAGCCAAGTTTAGGGCTGTAACATATATTGGGGGCTCGTCCGGGATCCTGTTTTAAAACATTCCCGACAACAGTGAATGGACATTTACTTTGGGTAGGTGAAGGTGAATTGTATTTGGGCATTTTCAAAATGGTGTTTGACTTCGAGGCCTTCGTGGAAGAGCCTTCCCTTGAGGAGTTGAACAAATGCAAAAAGAAAGACCTCATAGCACTTGCTGTGCATTTTAATATTTTATATTCCAAGCAGAAAGGACGAGATCCGGGCGCTGCTTGTGGATGGCTTGGTGGAGTTGGGCCTGCTCTCGCAACCAGTGGCTTCTGAGGGGACTGATGAGAGTATCGTGCCTGCGGGAACCCCAAAGCGGGAGGAGAAACCTGGACCTTCAGATGGTTCTCCCCCTGGGACAAAGAGAGCGGGCGCGGGGGTTGATGAACCGCCTAACCCTCTGTTCACCCTCCCCCGGTATGACCCACACTCTCCTCCCACCTCTCCTCGGTCCTTGGATGCTGCCCGACGCGCTGTGCGCCTGGCCCGCATTAAAATGGAAGGTGAGCAGAAGGAACGGGACCGCAGTGCCGAGCTCAAATTTCAGGTGCGCAAGCTCGAGATAGAGGCTGACAAAGACGTCAAACTGCGCCGCCTTGAGCTGGAGGCTGAAGGTCGCCTCCCTCCCAGTCCTACTCCCGGCCCTGGACCCACCGCGCAGGCTGCAGCCCACTCCCCATCCGTTCACGGCGGCGCCCTCGATGTAAGTAAATTTATTTCCCTTGTACCCCCCTTCAGAGAGGGAGAAGTGGATTCATATTTTGCTGCATTTGAGCGCATCGCCTCGGCCTTAAACTGGCCACGCGACATTTGGCCTCTTTTGCTCCAATGTAAAATGTACGGGAAAGCCCAAGAAATCATTGCAGCCATGCCTCTTGCTGACAGTCTGCGGTACGAAGCAGTCAAGAGCGCCATACTAAGGGCATATGAGCTGGTCCCTGAGGCCTACAGGCAAAGGTTCCGAAGCCATAAAAGGGCCCAAAGCCATACCTACATTGAGTTTGCGAGGGAGAAAGGAATGTTATTTGACAAGTGGTGTTCGTCTGCTAAAGCTCAGAGTTTTGCTTCGTTACGTGACCTTATGTTGCTGGAGGATTTTAAGAGAAGCCTCCCGGACCGTGTTGTGGTGTATCTAAATGAGCAGAAGGTGAAGACCATTTCGGATGCTGCTGTTTTAGCTGACGAATTTGTGCTGACTCACAAATCCATATTTGGCGGAGGGCCTGACAGGCCTCGCGCACCTGCTCCTAGGCCTACTTCTCCGAGGACTGACAGGACGGGCCCGGACGAAAGGGAATGCTACTACTGCCGCACTGCTGGGCATCTTGTTGCCACGTGTCCTGTACTCAGACGCAGACCAGGCTCTCCGAAACCTAAAGGTCTTGGGCTAATCAAAACTGAGGTTAGCCTAGCTCCTAGCACCTGCCAAGACCCAGATTCGTGTTTTGACCCATTCATCTTTGAGGGAATAGTTTCTCTGCCTGGCAACGCACCTGACCAAAGACCCATCCGCATTTTGAGAGACACTGGCGGGTCTCAGACGTTAATCTTAGCCAGTGCTCTCCCCTTTTCTGAGCAGTCCTCGTGCGCGTACAAAACTGTGCTACGGGGAATAGAAATGGGCTACTGCCCGCAGCCAGTACATTTGGTGCACATCGAGTCCAAACTCGTAAATGGGACATTTCCCGTTGCTGTTTGCAACGCGTTGCCAATTCCAGGGATTCACATGTTGATGGGAAATGATGTGGCCGGGGGCCTGGTAACTCCACCCTTGGAAGTGGCTGATTCCCCGCTGGACAGTATGGATATTTGCTCTACTGAGATTTATCCTGCGTGCGCGGTTACGCGTGCCCAAGCCCGCCGTAATCTCGGAGATGATGTTAGTTTGTCTGACACATTTTTGTCTGACATTTCAGCAGATTTTGTGCCTACAGCTGAGACCCAGGCTTCCCAAAGCTCGACTCCGCGGAAGGCCGCGTCTCCAAAAATTGACAACCCAGCTCTGCCTTGTTCACGTGGGCGGCTCATTGCGGAGCAGAGATCTGACCCAACGTTACACAACTTGGTTTCCAGTGTGGTGAGTAGCGAACAATGTGACAAAGCTCAGATCTGTTACTTCTTGCGCGAGGGTGTGTTAATGCGTAAATGGTCTCCCCACGTCACCCATGACAATGTGTTTGCGGTCTACCAAATAGTTGTGCCCTCCTGCTACCGTAATCAGATTACAGCAGTGGCACATGAAAGCTTGTGGTCGGGGCACCTAGGCGTTACAAAAACTTACAAATCGCTGTTAAGACAGTTTGTGTGGCCTGGGATGAAAAAGGACGTGGCCGAGTTTTGCCGCAGCTGTCACGTGTGTCAGATGGTGGGAAAGCCCAACCAGCCAATCCTAGCAGCTCCTTTACATCCCATACCTGTTATTGATCAGCCTTTTGACCGCGTCATAGTTGACTGTGTAGGGCCTCTGCCCCGCACACAGAATGGTAATGTATTTCTACTCACTATAATGTGTGCTGCCACGCGTTTCCCAGAGGCCATCCCGATGCGTAAAATCACCGCACAATCCGTAGTCAAGGCGTTGTTGAAATTCTTTTCAGTATTTGGACTCCCAAAATTCATACAGACAGACCAGGGAGCGAATTTCAAGTCTAACCTGTTTGCACAAGTGGTTCAAACACTTGGGGTAAAACATGTTCTGTCCAGCGCGTATCACCCTGAGTCACAGGGTGCTCTGGAGCGTTGGCACCAGACGCTTAAATCCATGCTGCGCAAGTACTGTATGGAAACTGAAAGAAATTGGGATCAAGGGATCCCGTTCGTGCTGTTTGCAGCCCGGGATGCGACTCAGGAGTCTTTGGGGTTCAGCCCCGCTGAGTTGATATTTGCCCACACTCCCCGGGGCCCGCTCAAAGCGCTGAAGGAAACTTTTCTTTCTTCACCCACCGCAGCCAATGTTTTAGATTTCGTAAGCACATTCCGTGAGCGCGTACTGAAAGCAAATTTACTCGCTAGGGCTGCCCTACAGACTGCACAGGCAAAAATGAAGCGTCAGTTTGATAAGAGGACGCTGGCTCGCTCATTCAAAGCGGGAGATGAGGTGCTCGTTTTGATACCCGTGCAGGGGGATACGCTCTCTGCTAAATATACCGGTCCTTATGTGGTTAAGGAGAAACTGTCTGATACTGACTATATTATCAGCACGCCGGACAGGAGGCGAAAAACCCGCGTGTGCCACATTAATATGTTGAAGCAGTATCACTCCCGCGTTACACCGACCACGACGGAGCCCTCCCTTCAGTGTGTCTCCGCTCTGATTGTGGCTGACCAGGCCGCTGAGAGCGGACTGAAGATGCGTAAGGAGCATAGTCCGCGTCTCCCGAACTCTGAAATGCTTACGGTTTTACCTACCCAACTGGAAGCATTTGAGCGCTGATCAGCAGGCTGACGTTCTGGCTGTTGTGGGACGATTCAGATGTCTGTTTGGGGACGTACCAAGTTGCACCAATGTATTGGCACATGACGTAGACGTGAAGGACGCGCGTCCCATTCGCCAGCATCCGTATCGGGTGAACCCCACAAAACGCGCGCTGATGAAGCAGGAGGCTGAGCATTTATTGGCCAATGGTCTGGCTAAACATAGCACTAGCGCTTGGAGTTCACCCTGTTTGCTGGAGGAAAAACCTGATGGCTCGCCTCGCTTCATCACGGATTTCCGTAAAGTTAACGCTGTCACTGTCCCTGACTCATATCCCATGCCCCGCATGGAGGATTGTGTGGACAACCTCGATCCTGCTAAATACGTCACTAAATTGGATTTGTTGAAAGGTTACTGGCAAGTCCCGCTGACTAAGCGCGCGTCGGAAATATCGGCGTTTGTAACGCCTGATTACTTCCTGCAATATACCGTGATGGCGTTTGGAATGTGCAACGCTCGCGCAACTTTTCAACGCCTGATTAATGTCGTTCTACAGGGCCTGCCCAGTTGTAATGCTTATCTGGACGACTTATTGATCCACTCCGTTACCTGGAAGGAACACGTACACGTCCTACAGCAGGTGTTTTCCAGATTGGCAGCTGCCTCACTCACCCTAAACCTCGCTAAATTTGAGTTCGGGAAGGCTCACGTTACATATTTGGGACGTGAGGTTGGCCAGGGCCAAGTCCGACCTATTGAGGCTAAAGTTTCCGCGATAGACGCCTATCCGCCTCCCACCACTCGGCGTGAGCTGCGCCGCTTCCTGGGCATGGCTGGGTACTACCGAAGTTTCTGCCGAAATTTCTCATCAGTGGTTGTCCCACTGACCACCTTATTGAGTCCTAAAGTTGATTTTAAATGGACTACTGAGTGTCAATCCGCTTTTGACAGCGTGAAGTCTCTGCTGTGTCATGCACCTGTCCTCGCTGCTCCTGACCCGTTGCGCCCCTACAAGCTTGAAGTGGACGCTAGTGGGGTCGGAGCAGGTGCAGTCCTGATGCAGGAGGATGCGAGTGGTGTTACCCATCCGGTAGGTTACTTCTCCCGAAAGTTTAATACACACCAGCTCCGCTACTCCACCATAGAGAAAGAGACTTTGTCACTGTTGCTCGCTCTCCAGCACTTCGAAGTGTACCTTGGGTCCAGTTCTGTGCCAATCGTTGTGTTTACCGACCATAACCCTGTAACCTTTTTGTCCCGCATGTATAATCACAACCAGAGGCTGATGCGGTGGGCCTTGATGGTGCGGGATTTTCCGTTAGAGATTCGACATAAGAAGGGATCAGAGAACGTGTTTGCCGATGCCTTGTCCAGATAAGGTGATGGCTGCATATATTGTGTGTTCTGATGTTTGTTTTTGTTCAAAGAAATAATGTTAGGGTGGACAGTGTCTTGAGGGGTGGGGTGTTACGGCTCCAGGTCTGGGCCGTTTTGCGCAAGCACCCCCTCCCTCTCCCGGTGCGTCTCTCTCTGTCTGTGTGTCCGGCTCGTTCCCGCGAAGTCTAGGGCCCGCCTCCCGGATGCTGCCATTCGCCCGGAGTCCTCCTGTATGGCCAATAGGAGCTCCGCCCGAACCAATCTGCGCCACCAGCTGACCTGCCCGCGGCCAATAAAACAGCGGTGTGACGTCCAGACGGGGCGGCTTGTTCCCAATACAAGTGCGCCAGCCTTGAGAGACAGACGTGTGGTGGAGAGCTGACACCTTTGAGAAACCTTACGAGACCTTACGAGACCTTATTAGAATTGTGACTTGTTATCTGTCGAAGGAACCCCTTTTGTTTAGTTTACTGACTCTAAGTTTTGTCCAGGACGTTACCTTTTCTGCCTAGAAATAAAAGGCCATTTACTTTCGCCAATTACATCTGGTTGTGTATGTTGCATTTCCTTTCCCCTTCTCAGAGCCAAGTTTAGGGCTGTAACATCGATCAGCCTTAGTCCATTGTGAAGTCTCAGTTGGTGGAGCATTTGCCTTTAAGCCTGAAGGTCGTGGGTTCGAGCCCAGACTTTCTCCTCCGACTCCCACTGTCTACTGTTGTTGTGTCTGGCAAGACACTTAACCTCTGGGAACACCAGGAGCCACAGTGGGGCGGCTGTGGCTGTAAAGTGCCAAACTGCCGTTGTGTCCTTAGGCAAGACACTTCACCCCCATTGCCTAGAATGAGTCTAGTGTGTGCAAATGGTTAGTGGTGGTTGGAGGGGCAAATGTCATATATTGGTTGCCTCGCTTCTGTCAGTGTGCCCCAGGGCAGCTGTGGCTACAGTAGTAGTTTAGCACCATTGTGTATGGATTGAATGATAACATTATGTGAAGCGTCTTTGAGTGTCCAAAAAGCGCTATATAAAACTGATTTATTATTATTAAACACAAGTCACAACACCTTGCACAATGACAACCCATGCTCTACCGTCAAGTTTCTTTTCTGTCAAAAAATATTGCATATTATATCCAGATGGATAAGGAGCTTGGAGTCCTGGGTTCTCTGTGGAGTGACTTTAGAGTGATTTTGAATGTTTGAAAGTTAAAAGTTTGTTTTAACCCTTGTCCCATTTTTTAGAAACATTCTTGTCTTCCTCATTTTGAAAAGCCAACACGCTTCTACTTTTCCAATGTCGTTGTCCCACGTCAATTCAACACAGTTTCGGAAAACATGGAGCTACATTGGGGAAAAGCCTCATTTTGATAATTTTTCAAACTGTGAAAGAACCAGTTGAATAAAAGCTTTCAATCTTCACTTGCACATTATTCTGGGAAAAGCGGCACAGCTAAATTGAATTTGGTTGAGATAGTATTTGCAAACCCTTCCTTTTGCCGCTCGCTGTTACCTTTTGAGTTGTGCGTGTGTTCCCCTGAGCATTTCCTGCAGTGCATCCTAGAGACAAGCCAGAGGCCCAAGGATCCCATGGGAGCTCCATCTCACTGCAGAGCTGCCAGCATCTCACACCAGCAAAAAACACACACCCCAGTGAACAATCATGCATTTAGATTCGACTCCTACCATTAACCCATGGCTGCCAAAAACTGTGACGTATTTGCCCCACATTCCCTTCGTTAATGCAGAAACTTCTTTTGCATTTTTATCACTAGTCTTACATTTTCTGGCTGCTTAAGCTGTATTTGATGCATGAGTAAAGTTGCCTTATTTGCTAGCAAGTCTCGCAATGGGTCATCACACTTGGAGGGAGCCATGCTGAACTCATTACCTCGGAGGGAGGCCTGGGTGAAGGTAATTCGTTGATCTTGTCTGGGTTTAAATGCGCTGTGTGGCAGATTTGGGGAATTTCTGAGATAGCAGGGGAAAAGGCGACATGACAACTGATGGGAAAATAGTAGAGATTGTAAGCCAGCCAACTGTGAGAGCGGGAGCAACATTGGTTCACAACATACTGGAAATAAATACAGTGTTGGCTATACAAGCGATTTGCTGTTTTGTGGAAGAGACAGTGGATACTATGGAGTTTTACCTTATGAAGCACTGAATATCAGCAATGTTATTTGAGATGTATTATTCCAACTGTTGGACATCATACATTTACCTTTTGTCCTCCCAAACATTGCAATCAGTATGACCAAACCGTCTGTTTGATGTGCTCATGAGACAAACACTGTGGTGGAAAAAGTACTCAGTTCTGTTACTTAAGTAAATGATTTCCCCCCTTGTTCTGTGACTTTGTTCTGAAACACTTTTTAATGCCAGAACTGACTCTGTGGTTGTGCTTTTTACCTTGTTCTCCGATTGATACCTGCTCTGAAATGTGAAGTAAAAGAACTGTAAAATGTACTATTTTACTCCGCACATTCATTACAGTAACTGCAGCTTAATGAGCTTAAAAAAGACATTACATCAGATTATGATAAAACTATGTCGAGGTAGAAACACTGGGGATAATGTGACGTCATTAGGCAAAGCCTACAATTTACAAGGAGCATTGGAAAGAGGCTGCATCTTTTACTTTCAGTTTCGCACTTGGTTCTTTATTCAAAGTAAATAAGTATTTTTTCAGGAACCAAATGAATGGTGGAGGTAAAAATGTGTAATTTGTGAAATTGAGCTTGTATTCCAACTTGGCATCAGTTAAAGTTAGTTCAGTATTTTTGCACCCTGGGTCATGGTGGTTCTGTCCCGAACAGCGTGCTTCTTTTTGAGACCGGACTTAAACCTTTGAACAGTGTCTGAACTCTCGTGAGATTCTGGAGTTCACATCCTTCCAACATCCATCTGGTCCTGTTCAAAGATGTGTTTTTGACTGATCTCAGACTGAATTGCTAATGTGGATGTCCTGCAAGATTGGGAGATTTTAATGGTGCAGTAAATTTATTTAGATTTGTTATACAATCTTTTTCCAACCATCTGTTATTACTTTGCCATGGATGTGGCATATTGGGTAACCAGCCTGGTTGGATATTCTTACTATCGATTTGTTTGCTTGGTAACGTATACATTGTGAAACCTCATTTAATGTGACTTATAAAACCTTCTTGTCTCCATGGAGATTTCCTTTTCATGGGGACAAGCCTCAGAGATGAGCATGTTTTCAAAGTAACAACGTAAAAACACAAGATCTAGGGTTCAATGTTACAAGTATAAATGAGGCCAGTTTCAATGTTGTAATCTCATCTGTCCAGGAGTGTGCAATGGAAAGCGGCTCAGAGGTGGTATTTCGATGCTGCTGTTCTGAGAGGTGTGAACTTCGTTTTGAAAGTTATTCTCAGTTGTGCTGAAATGCAGTGAGAGCAGGATTTCTGTATGCTTTAAAATCAGTACTTTGCATAGCTTGCTCAGCTTTAAGTGAATCAGAATTGACGTCCAACTTTAGATTTACACAGACTATTTATGGCCTGACCATATCTCTCTAATCAGAGAAATCTCCTGTACTAATGCAAATGAGTGTTCTTGGGCAAGATGCTTATGAACTTGTGTGCATGTGTGTGAATAGATGAATGGATATAAGGCACGCTG